ATATACAGGGTGTCCCAAAACTCCCGCGTTTGGAATACACTATGTGATTCTTTATGCTAAAAGAAACAACTTTTTCCTTTAGCAAAATTGTGTGTGACGAATAGTTTTTATAGTGGAGAGTGCAGATTAAAAGTGACGAATGAGCGCGCGTATGTGCGTAGCGGTCAGGGCTGACGCGCGTTTCTCAGGCCGACGTAGTCTGGAACTTAATCTTTCGGATAATCTTTCGGACGACTTCACGTATTGCATTGTTTAAAATATAATACAAGTTACAACAAAATAAGTATTGTTTTCATCTTTTACATAACGATTCAATAAAAGAATTGTCTGATTTCGTAGCATTATCTGGAAATAAAGATAAATGTAAATTATATGGTGTATGAACTGAACATTTTATTATTTTAATTATTTTTTTATTGTCGTATGCGCAATTGTATATGACAGTAAAAAAAAATATTGAATTTAACGAATACTTATTAATTACGTGAGTACTTAATCACGAAAAGTAAAAAAATTGATTTTTTCATAATAGTATCTAAATAATTCGTTAAATTAATTTTTTTATTGTTACATGCAATTGTGCAGTAATTAAAATAATAGAATGCTCAGTTCATACACCATATTATTTACATTTATTTTTATTTCGAGATAATGCTACGAAATCAGACAATTTTTTTATTAAATCGTTAAAGGATGAAAACAATACTTATTTTGTTAACTTTTATCATATTTTAAACAATATAGTACGTGAAGTCGTCAAAGATTAAGTACCAAGTCGCGCCGGCCCTGACCGCTACGCCATACGCGCGCTTATTCGTCACTTTTAATGTAATCTACTATAAAAACTACTCGTTGCATGCAATTTTGCTAAAGAAAAAAGTTATTTCTTTTAGCATAAAGAATCACGTAATGTACTCCCAATGTGGGAGTTTTGAGACACTCTATATATGTATAATCATATCAAACAGGAATGCATATATATATGTGTGTGCGTGAAATACAAATGTTTGTCAAAAATTTTATTTTAGGTGTCTTATATCATCGTTGGAATAAATTAAATGCAGCAGAACAAATGTATAAAACAGCATTACAGTTGAAGCCAGATTTATATAGTGCAAAGGACAACTTACAAAGATTGTACATGTTAAAGGCATCAATAAAATAATTTTTGTTGTCTCTTACATTTTATGTTTATTATGCACATAATTTATACATATAAATTTTGTTAAATATTTTATTTTCTTATAGACATCAACTCTGGTATACAAGGATAATTATATGCCTTGAAGTTTCCAACTTTTTTACCATCAACATAATTATAGGATATAAAACATCTATTACAGATATAACTTACATCATGTGGTATTCTATCATGTTCTGTTATAATCCAATGTACATTAAGAATGCCACAACAGATACAATTTTTTCCAGAGATAGGTCTTATTCTCTCTATTCTAGGATAGGCAGACAATGCTAACACATCATCTATAGACATTAACCTAATACAAATAATCCATGATTAAGTAAATGACTTTTTACTAAAATTGTAAATACTACTAATAGCTTTGTAGAATCTCATTTTCATTATGACATCATTTTGTTGACAGAATTTAAAAAATTTTAATCTTTCTGTATTATATTGATAAAAATTACCTGGCATCACTCAATACAATTAAATGTTCACAATAACCTTGATGTTGATACACCCATGGAAAGCCAAATCTTGTACAAAGAGAATTTATCTGGGCATCCATGGTAGCAATTTTAAATGGACCTATATCACGAGCAGCTGCCCATTCTAATATGACTCTACTATAATCAATGTTAGTTGGCATACTAGTATCATTATAAAATGTATCTTCAATATAAAAAAATCCTGATTGATAGATATGCTATAAGTAAAAATATAATTAATTTTCATACAATGAATATTATAGAATAGATAAAATAAAATAGAAAGATTACTTACTTTTGCCATTAGGCTAGGCTTTTGATTTGGATCTTTGCTAATTTCTTTTGTAATTGACAAATCAGATTGACACATTATTTTTTGACGTAATTCATAAAGAGTTTGGCATCCTAATATTGATATGACACTTTTAAGTTTTAGAACTGGTATATTTGTTCTATACTTAAAAGAACGAGGCTGGCTATTAAATGGTTCATATACTCTAACATAAACTAAGAATTCTTCATTTGGCATTATGGAATTATTATTAGACAATCTTAACTTATCATATTTCTAGAAAAAAATAAATTATTTCAGTACAATTTGTCACAGAAATCATTGAATATCAAATAAAAAAAATACTAAAGTGACCTAAAATTTTTTGGAAGCAATTACTTACAATAGGAATACCATTTAGAAATTTTGGCTTTATTAAAGCTTCTTTAGATAAAATTTTCAATACTTTAATTGTTTCTAATGGAACATTATCTAAAATTCTTTCAGATATGTTAATATATCCTTGTTTTTCTTGTTCTTCTGCATTAGCAGCTTCTATTGGCAATGTTAAATTATCGATACTGCAAAATTGATTTACAATAATACGCAAGAGTATTCCTGATTTAATTAAAAATATATATTTTTTACATAATGTAAGATATACCTGCAATAATGTTTCATTAAAACTATCCTTGCTTGTGAAAGATCAGTTTCCATAAGTTGAAAAATCTTTTCTTCACTTTGTTTGCCTATTTCATGACATTTCGATAATTTTATTAATTCACTATATTGCTGAAAATAATCCTTTACGCAAATCTTTGATGATGCCTGACGATCGTAAAGTTTATATACTTGATCCATCTTCATAAATAAATTTTAAGATCAAGGAAATTATAAGAGAAAACATCGATGTATGCCTTCAGTTTGCAAAAGAGCAAAATATTTCATAATGATTGTTTTCCAGTAAGATTATACACATGGCTGCGTTCAGCAGAGAAAGCTAGAGATACTACAATGAGAGACTGGCCACGACTCTGATCCGCCATGTTTTGGTTAAAGAGAGAGAAAGAAATATACATCATTTAACCAATAACGTTTTGGTAGTGATTATTTTTTATTTTGCATTTTTTATTTTGCATTTTTTATTGTGCATTGATTTAAGTGTATTGTGCATGTGTATTAAACACATGGAAAGCGTGATAATATATTATTAAATAATAGAGATACTAAAATTGCAAAATATAATCATAAATTAATTAATTGTGATAAATTAATATAAAAAATGGATGTTCATTTTCTTACTTAAATTTTATTTTATATTGTAATAAAGTTTGTTTATAATAATAATAATAATAATAATAAATATGTATAATAATCCTTTCTAAAAAAAGATATGACATCGATATTTGAATCTCTCGAAATTTCCTCGAAGTTTATTGTTGACGCTTTTCCGCGATGAGTTCTCTCACTGCACTAACTTTGCGATTAGCTGTCATTGTATTGATTTCACAGAGAACCGTTTTGGCATTGTGTATCAAAAAGTTAAAAATATTATAGTAACAGTAATAATAGTATTACATTAATTTTTGCTCTTGTGTTGAAAAAAAAATAGCGAAAAAAGATAAATAAAAAAGATAAATAAATAAATAATAAATTTAAAATCGTTAGTAATAAATTTAAAATTAATATTAAAGGAAATATATTAATAAATACAATAAATATATCAATAAATTGGTAATATAACGATGTAAAATAAAGTTTTATAAATATACACATTTTATTACCTTTAAAACGCTTATGTTTTTAAATTATAATATTACAATTTAAGATTAATGTAGTTAATGTATTTGAAAATAAGTGGGAATAGCCAAAAGATGGCGGACCAATTAAAAGTGGCTTTTTCGTGACCAGCCTCTTATTATAGTGTCTCTAATATAAATCAATCATATTGAAGAAGTTTACATAAGTGCAAGCTGCTTTCTCTAAAGATACTACATAAGTGTCGGTCCACAAAGTATTTAATC